CACTTTTCATACATCAAAGCCTGTGCATTTGTCATGTGGAGGGAAGCATTAGCAAACTGTGTAATATTTCACTCTTGCCAGGTGGTTTGCTGTTTGACTTCAACGGTGAGTTGTTACTATGTTAAACTGTTATTCATTTGGTGATTAGAATGGTTTTACGTGATAAACTTGACGACAATTCCTATTTTTATTCCACTGTGAATTATTCAGCCACTCGTGCGCAGCGCCAGCCTTCAGGCCAAGGCTGCAGGAGTGGCCCAGTTTGTCACATTAAACCTCCTTTTAGCAACTGTTCTCAAACAATTTCAACATCACTTAATTAAGACTGATGGGGTTAACACGGTTTAACCCGAGCCAGTAGATGAACATGCACACTCATATAGGTGAGAACGTTTTCATTGGTATCGAGTATTACGCGTGTTGGCCAAACAAAATGCTGGTAAACCTTGACCTCCAGTCGGTTGTTTTATTTAGGAAAAGAAAAGCGCAAAAAACTAGCCAAATAAGAACTTGTATTAAGAATGTCATCTCCAAGGGTTAATACTTTGAATAATTAACATGCTTAATTAACAATTAACAGTAAAATAGTTTGTTGATATAATGTTTGTCATTGCTTAAACAAGCACTTGCAGCTGAGACGCCTCGAAAGGTTGAAATGCCTGCAGCTCAAGACCTCAGAAGAATAAATATGATATTTATTTCAGTGTAAAATGTCAAATCTGAAGGTATGAAATACATTTAGAGCGGTCACTGGTGATGTGGCTGTTAGGAGGCCGCTAATGGCGATTTCAAAAATAAAAGCATGTTTTTTTAGTTGCTCAGAATTTTCCTTAGACACGTTAGGAGGGCTGTGGTTTAACTTAACTGCCTGGAAATCTGTGTGCGCCTGCTGCCTTTCCTGAGCCCATTTCACAAGGGGCCATTTTGTAATGTTTAGGGGCGACCGTGGCTCACTGGCTTAAGAGGATTGTCTGGTAACTGCAGGGTCAACGGTTCGATCCTCGACTGGGACGTGCCACGTGTCGAAGTGTCCCTGAGCAAGACACTGAACCCCCCGCTGTCATTGGCAGCCCACTGCTCCCTATATGCAGAGGTCAAATTTCGTGTATGTATATGACAATAAAAAGAGTTTCTATTAAAAATGTGCCGCATACGATTTACAGTGTAAAGGCCCAATCTGTCATGTTTATGCTAAATAAATAGACTAAATGTAGTCTATATTTTATGTAGCTTAATTTAAGAGTTCATGAGCTTGCAACAGATGAAAAACTGCATTTATTATAAATGTATTGTCACATTATATCATTGAGCATTGCTGGTGTGAACAAAAAAGTATCAAATCACGATTAAACTACTCATTTAAATGCAGCTAAATCAATAAAACAGACAGCAGCTTTTGAATTGTAGTGCTTTTGAATTGTAGTGGTGGGAGACTCTTACATTTACACGATCATGCCTTGAAGAGCAAAATGTTTCTAAATCCCTTGACATTTTCATATTTATGATGATTTGAACGTTTTTATGCTGCAAACTGATTTATTACTCAAAAGAAAGTTCTCACGACTTTCAGTGTAATAGCCGCCACTTTATTTGCTCAAATCCCCCTGGAGACAAAATATTTATTTACAAATGAATGAAACAGAATGATTTGGAAGACATTGGGACTTTGAAGCTGAAAAGCCCAGATTTGGTTTATCGATAATTGACTGTTTGTATTAGTTGAGATAAAACTATATTTTCCATGAATCAGCTTCCAAAGTCAGACTCCATGTTTTCTGAAGTAACAAACAACGTCATCTGCTCCACATTATTTAAAGGTAACTGGTGTATTATGAGAACAGAAGTACATTTTCAACAACACTGATCAAGGACAATAGATCAGTTTGAGCACAACAGAAAATGATGGTGGAGTCTGACAGCACTATGGGAGGGGGCTTCTTCGGAAGTGGTGCACTGTTGAGTGGTTTACAGCTGAGGCTGCTGTAAAACACAGCAACTTAAAAAACGAATAAAACTTTCTGGATTCACAAATTCAACCTTGCATTAATCCACAAATATCTGTCTGTCGAGCAGATGTGGTAAGATTGCAAAAGGCAGAAGGTCTAAAATACAGGGAGCTTAAATTGAACGCACATCAATCACACTTCCTGTCTGACTGCCAACTGTGGATGTCTAGCTCTACTGTTGTCCAACAATGTTGTAATAGTGGTGAATGCAGTTTTAGTTATATCTTGTCAATATCTGTAAACACTGAGAAAATATATTACCGTTATGATGAGATGCAACGAATGTGAAAACATCATTCAAATAAAATGTTGCAGTAGAGACAAATGTAAAGTAACATAACATTTAGATCCAACATCCATTGGCATCCAGAGAGAGAGAGAGAGAGAGAGAGAGAGAGAGAGAGAGAGAGAACACTTTCAGCTTTCAACACAGATGATGTTCACACAACTGATGTTCTGGTTAAGGCCCGTTTAAATAAAGTGTTTATTTGTTACTGTGTTGTTGTTGTTGTTGTTGTTTTTACTTTATTTGTTTACTTTTCCTCTTTGGAAAATGGAAACGTTTTAATTCCAGTTTTTATTAAGTTTCAGATTTCGTATACTATTCTAAATATCAGTGATTTGCCTATTATTAGTGCTCTGAAGCTACTGCTTTATAGTGGCACCAGAGAGGCACGCTTCAGACCTGCATATATGAGACTTTTTGGAGTGAGGTGCATTAATCTGTTTGGCTGTTAGGGGGAGCAATGACACAGAACAACAGAGGGGACACTTATGTAGAACACGCAGAAGGGTTCCAAAGAGACTCCATTTAAACAAGGTAGAAGAATAATTACATCAACACGAGCCCCATCGTTCCCAAACAGTGAATGTAGGCAAAATGCTTCGAAAACAATTTCAATTTTCTTTCTAAAATTATTAGCATCTGTGCCATCTAGTCCGGCTTCTAAGTGCTCGTGAGCAGTACGACGAACCTGCCTTGCTGTTGTTAGAAGAGTTAGACAGTTTGGAGGTCAGTGCAATGCCCGTTAGTATTTAATATTTGAATTTGATAGAAAAATCGGGAATATTTTACCCTGGTTGTTTTAATTGGTTCTGATAATTATGTGAATCGATATGTGATAAGATAATATGGATAATAATAACGCAATGATACAATTATAATATAGCATTTCATTATAGGTAAGGCCAAATAGCAATACTGACAACATAAGTAAAGAGTTGAGCGTTGTAGCTGAGGGGTTGTTTGGACGGGGGATGAACAGGCCCGTTCAGCAGCTCTCACACACGTTTCATATCATAAGGGTTAGTTTAGATCTAGTGTTAACAAGTCGATTTTCACTTTAAATTTCGGTTTCAAAATGATATTCTTTAACACAAAATTAAAACATAACTTGGAGAACAGGTCGTGTGAAAACTTTAATTTTGTACGCACATTAAAACAGACTGCAACTTTAATATTGTTTTCGATTGAGTATCAATTAATGAATAAGAACAAGAATTGGATAATGTTTTAAAAAATGTAACGGGCATTTTAGTGACGAAATTTAAAATTGCATTCAGCAAAAAAGACGCAAGTTTGCACGTGCATGCAAGAAAATAACCTGAAGCTGCAAATTGAATGAAAACTGATTGTTTCGATAGATAATTTTTCATTCTCAATCTCGAACAAATGATTTCACCAAGAAAGAAGAATTAGTTAACAATTAGCTGTGTAACAAACATATACTATAACGATTATAATCAGTGATTATCATGGGCTTTGGGCTGTGCCATGACTTAAAAAAAAGCTTCATCTATTATATTTTGTCAAATCTGTGCTAAGCTAACCCTTCTCCCACAGCCCTAAACATATTTGAGATATTTTATTGAAGAAATAAAGTGTTTTACCTTATTTGTCAAAGTTGAAATATGACACATTTTGTAAGGTAAGTAGGTATAAATAAACATTTTTCTCTCTCACACACACGCTGTGCTGACTAAGCTTTGCCACTAGATGGCGACATAAACCCTTAATGGCTGAAGCCCAAAGAGGCTCTGAGCTCTTGCCGGCCTGTTGCCCTCTGCACGCTCATCGGGCTTTATGAAGCCTATCCTTGATCGATCAAGCCTCCATGTCCAAAAATATGAATGAAAATGACAAGATCACGCTGCATCTCTCAAACATTTATTGTCAAAAAAACTTTGGCTATTGCAGTCAAAAAAAGGGGGAGTAGATAGTTGCAGTCAGATAGTATTTACATGTTTAAATATGCTTACATTTTCAGTACTCTTTTTGATTGACAGACGGAAATTGCAAAGGCCAGTCTGTTGACAGCAGAGTTTTTTCTGAGCAAAACCCTGTGTTTAGAGATGGAAAGGCATGGGATGTAACTCACGAATGAGTTTGTTTAAATAAATGAATTATGAAGTGTTGTAGGCCACTATTGCCTCTCTAAGAACATAGTGTATATGTATGGATATATATATATATATATATATATATATTTATATATATCTATATTATTACTTTCCTCTTAAATTAATGCTGAAAATGTAATTTTCAAAATGTTTTTTTGGTTAATGGTTTAATTTTGCCTGGTTTCATTGTGAATATGGTAGACTGAATGTGCCAGTTTAGCCCTATTTGTTTACCACTGTATCACTGTCTAAATAGTTATTGTGAAACATTCCAGTCTTCATTTCTGGATTGGATTAAGTGGAATAAAATCGCAGGATTGCTCGGGGTGTCTCGTGCCTTAAAGGCCGACTGTCTGATTGTATGGTGGATATTTTTAAGGAGATCATGCATCCATCGCAGAATCGCCTTGGTCACCCATTTCCGATCTTCTGTCAACAGGCCGCATCGACTGGTTCCAATTAAAATGTGAGGAAGGAAAAGTGTAGGTCAAAACAGAGCCGCTCTGGCGAAAAAGAAACCGTTCATAATGTAATAAATTATAGCGCAGCTTTTTCGATGAAGGTCCGTCAACTCCTGTTTCAGTATCTCCAGAGCTAGCTGGAGCTCTTGAACTTGGTGACGACTTTCTTCTCCTTTACGCGCCTGTTCTGAAACCAGATTGTCACTTGTCTCTCTGTCAGATTTGTCTGCGCGGATATCCTCCTCCTTTTGTCCTTGGTGATGAATTTGTTGGCGGAGTACTCCCTTTCCAGTTCTTTGAGCTGCACCTTGGTGTATGGCACACGCTTCTTTCTCCCACGGCGGACAGAGCTGTCTCCACCAGATATATTGTCTGTGGACAAAACAAATGAAGATTCACATTTTATTCTGCTCGTCTGCATCAGAGAGAAAACGAAAATGTTTTTTACATCTTCTGTGTTATATTTTATTCTTTCAAGCGCATTATTGAATATCAACAGAGAATTAAAAGCTTTTTACATTTGACATTGTATGCAAATATTTGTGAAAGTTTATGTGTAACATTTGTGTGTATATATGTTAATACAATATTTAAAAAAAAATACCTTGTAACGAGGATTTCCACAGAGGATTTGACTGCGGCTGCTCCTTGGTGCAGTAAACTTGACCACTCCAACCATTGGTGATGGCCCATGGCTGGTAGGGCTCCATGGGCAACAGAGATTCATGTCTTGGCTCAGATGGAGCACTCAGCGCAGGTACGACAGGGACGTCCAAGTAGCTGGGCTGGTAAGGAGCAGAGGAATAGCCCTGATAAAACGCAAATTCCTTTGCCCTGGTTGAGAACTCCTCGCCAGAGACCGATGAGTCCATGTATTTATCGCCATAGCCAGAGGGCTGCGCGCAAGCCTTGACGCTGCCGTGTGACATCCTACACGGGTAATAACCGCTGCCAAAATATCCATAAGGCAAAGATGCATTGGGCGAGCTCTGAGTGGCAGAACAGGGGCTGCACTGTTTGCCAGGCTCCCCCATGCCAGAGACTGGCACCTCACTCGCAGCGTAGGTGGTGCTCGGAGCCAGCGAGGTTGGATGCGCTAGCAAATTCCTGCACTGGTTTGCAGCAAAATTGCCTCCAGTAAATCCTTCCATGTTCTTGCTTCTGTCCTCCAAGCCGTTGTCGTAAAGAAACATCACCGGGTCAATCCAGTGCGAGTGGAGGAGTAATGAAGCGGTCATAGCATGCCCTACATCGAGACGACTAACTCTTTTTCAAAATCCCCTCGACTGAACAGAGACAGGGACACGGGCAGAGTAACGATACCAACACGCCTGAGTCCATAAAGATCGCAAGGTTATTGGCCAGGGCCAAACACGTGATATGCAAAGGAGATGATAAACATCGAGACATCAGATAGTGCAGATCAAGCTGTATACTTGTTAAGATGTACATAGCCATGTGTTATGCAAATATGCCCTAAGGGTATATTTTTCTTAACATCGATATATTTGAATTTCAAACTGAGAGAAACTTTGATGTAGAGGCAATCTTGTCTGTCACGAAGTGCCATCACCAAAACGCTTATTTGATGGATTGGCTACTACAAAGCGTAACAAAACTACATGCTATATGTATATTTTTATGTCGAAATCGATGCGTAATTACGCGTGCCATTTCGTTTGCACAAGCTCTTACTCTAAGAGTAAAGCAGGAATTATTTCAGATATGTTGATTTAAAATAGTTGTATACTTTTATGTCTAAAGATTCAAGCTTTTTAGGCACTGCCATTCAATAGATACTAAGCGTAACATCACGATCTTAAATGATCTGGCTTTTAAGGATTAGGCAAGTATTTGTTATAAAGAAAATAAACACAGATCGATGTGTTATGGATACATTTAAAACGCATACTATAGCAACATGAATAACTGTGGATCATTCTCACATTTGGCACTGCAACGTGGAAATGTAGGCAACAGTTTAGTGTCCGCTAAAATACCAAAAGCATGCCACTTTTGGCTGCACTCTTCCAGGGTTGGACGCGGCTGGAGGCCAAGGTCAAGTTGAAAGTTGTAGTCTGGCCAAATAGGCACTCCATGCCAGGAAACACCAAGAAAAAACACAGAAGAGGAGGTTTCATCAACAGACTTGTTCATTTTTTAATGATGTTCAAGTTTCATAAACGTCTTCTATTCTTTCAATAATCCTATCAGACTTTGGCGAAATGATTTATTTTATCCTTCTAGTGTAAAAAAGGAGACTTGTAGGAAGATAAACTGCTCTTCACCGTGCCTATGCTTCTACATTATGCGTCAAATACCTCTATATCTGGGCTCCTGTTTTCCTATAGGCAGGAAGCTAAAACACTCTTGCATTGGGCCACATATACAAACAACTCCTTCACGAGTTTGTAGTGCAAGAAAAAAAACAAAATGTGAAAGATTTTGCCTATAAATATCACTGAAACATTCAGCTGTAAAAAAAAAAAGGTTACATTAGTGTCAAACAAAATACTGTTTTACCTTCCAGAGTTCATTTTTGTATTACGTTTCTGATGTGAGACCACAAACGCAGAGAAATGTAAACCCACAGTTGAGTACCTTTTTATTTTTAATAGAGTTTTCCCACCTTTTGAGGCTGTAAATCTTTATGGGCCAAGTTCATAGCTTGTAGGCAAGAGGTCTACATTTCAGGTAAAATGCATAATGTTTTATGTTCGTGAATAGTTTCATGTCTGATTTTAGTTTGTGTTGCATTGTTATGATACCCGACTGATAGACTAATCGGCTTTCTTATTTAATGCATTTTTAGCTACAACATTGCTAATACTTTCTTCAATTTCGCAGGAAACCGATTTAGAGAAAGTGAGTGTTGGCTGGACAGGAATCATCTCAGCCCAAATTCAGCCACGTTGTTCTCACATTAGAGGGCGGCTGTCTGCCTCAAACAACAGACTGTCTCAAGATATAGCAGCTGGCGGAACGGGTATGAGCCAGTTATAGGAAAACGATGATTCATATAAAGATTGCAAATATGAGTATGAAGCATTTAATTTGTTTGTTTAATTCTCATTTCAATATGTACGCACTCTCACTCTCTCTCTCTCTCTCACACACACACACACACACACACACTCTCTCTCTCTCTCTCTCTCTCTCTCTCACACACACACACACACACCCCCACACTAGGATATTATTCGCAAACATGCATATTACGTAATAAAGATAAATCTTGTTAGTTTACATCATAAGCGAGAAGGTATTATTAGTAACGGTGACTAAGGACGCCGTTAAAGAATACAAAGTATTGGGTCCTCTTTATCACACGCAAATATAACTTATTTAGGTCAAAGTCTAAACGTTGACGCCAAGTTACAACTAATAAAACTACAATTTGTATATAAAGTCTGAAATATACAAATGTAAAAAATAAAACATTTTGACCCATTGTAATCAAATGAACAAAAAAGTCTTTAAGTACGACGGATACAAGTCACTTGATTGTTGATTCTAGTATTTTTAACAATTTTGACTTGCACGAGGAGTCTGATTTTAGTTTTTTTTTATAATATAACACCGTGTAGCTTTGCACTGGACAGGGAGGCCACTATTAAAACCGCAGAGACTTGACAAAATACCTTAGTTATTGCTTCGAATGCAACATTTAACACAAATAATACAAAACAAACTCCGGCTTGTTGAAAAGGCTGGAATTTGAATTAGCCTACGAACAATTTGGACGAAGAAAACAGCAAATACATTTCGTGAAAAGTAATCAGTGTTGGGATGCAACGTCTGCACTTTTTCTAAACTAACCTGCACTAAATGCATGAAACGAAATATCTAGGTGTTCATATGCAAAAATACAGAAATAAATCTGTATCATCACGGAGTTTGAGGATAAAAACAGAGTGTACGCAAAGCCATTCAAACGTGTTGAAGAAGCTATCGAGCACGAGGGATGACGTGCGAGCAGCAGCAGATGATGTCAGGCTGTGTATGTCACAGTCTGCTGGAGGCCTGAGACCAAAGTGCTGCTCTGTTTGCAGTACCTATCAAGTAGATGGCAACACAACTCTTAGCCTACAGTGCTTAATGGACTTTTTATGGGTTTGTCTTGTGATCGCATGACCTATGGCACCGTGGCCCCTCAGTGGCTCTTGGCAAACTAGATCAGAAACATGCCGCCCTCCTGGTCTGGCCGAGGTGGGGATAGAAAAGAGGTCGACGTGCCAAAATGATCGAAGCTGCATGAAGCATCAGTCGGTCACAACTTTGTTTCATAGTTTTAGGAAATATGCAATAAAACATATTCAAATGTTAATTAGAGGGGAATTTGTGTTGGAAAATGTTATTGATGCTAAAAATAAAAATAAATGGATGGAACTACATGCACACGCGTTTTGGCCACGTTCATCTGTTGAGCGCTTCGCATCTGCTCAGCAGCCAACGTTTGTTCAACACTTTATCGTGACTACTGAATCCGTGGGACACGCTATGCCAATATGACATTTGGGGGTTATGTAAGACTAGCACTCAGAGACACGAGGGAACATTTTACAGTGCGTGTCCATATAGAAGTCATTTAGAATTTAGATTTTCATCTTGATAATTAGTAATCTTCACTCTCGGTGTCTGAGGTTTGGCTGCACTTGGAGTAGGGCATACATTCAGTTATTTCCCCTTGAATCAGTGACAGTTATTAAAATAAAAAAAAGTTTGTTACTTAAACAAACCAGCAGAAATCACTGAATAAAGGTGGTGCTTCCAATTATTTGATAGAAATCTGTTCATATTTTATATATTTAAGTTCAAGTTAACATCAAGATACAGAAAAGAAAAATGGATGAAATCTTAAGGTGGTAAAATCATTGTTCACAAAGTTTAAGACATCCCAATTTGTCTTTATTTCTCAACAGGATATGATATTAAAAAGCCAAAGTAACAGTTTCACTGTCAAGAGAAGTAACACCGTCAACAGAAAAACAAAGTAACATAAAGAAATGATTACAAACAATAGATACATATGTGAAGACTAAACCCTGTTTGCAGTTGTTAAGCTTTGACAAAACAGAGCTAACTTCTTGAAAGACGATCTGCAGAGCTGCCATTGCTTGACAGTCTACTACTTTTGGATCCACTGTATGTCTCACAGTTCACTTGCTTCTAAAACTGAAAGAAGTGCTGCATTTTAAGTAGGCTAGATCACACAGGAAACATGATTTCCAATAGGACAGAAGTGCTCACATGATTGGTCACACTGTGTTGGAGCTTTCTTGGTTTCATGTCTTTTACAACTTTGAAAAAGAAAGTCCTCAGGGCGAAATGCACCCGAACTACGCTATGTTCGTCCTGTGCAGGGCCAGGCTGTGGACGGGGTGGAGGCTGAAATTACTGGCCCTCCTCCTCACGCAGGAACTGGAACACGGAGGAGAAATCTTTATTGGCATATCCGCGTGCGCACATCATACGGTAGATCTGATGGGCTAAGGAGCCGAGAGGAACAGGAGTCTTTGTGCTGGTGGCCGTGTTCTGTGCGAGGCCTAGATCCTGAAAAAGAAAAGCAAACATACGCTAGAAAAACCAACAAAGCCGATAATTAAATTCTAAACTAAAACCACCAGTCCACACCACAGAGAATTTCTGTTGTAATAATATGGGCTTGATTGCCTTTTAAGAGCGATGTAAACTACTGCAGAGTAGTTCACTGCATCATTTTAAGTGGCGTGATCTAAGAAATATATTTTTCCCCCCTAACACTGTCACTTACATCCCGGTCACATGCAACGCATAGAACACAGAAATGAGTCCTTGGCTGACTTTTTCTAACTCTGATACATACATACAGTACATAGAGAGCTGCAGGAATGATTCCTAAAACCCCAAAATCACTTAAAATGTTTAACTTCCGGTTCCCTCGCTGCGAGGTCAATGGTTTTTAATAAATGGTTTTCTGAGGTAGCTTTCAACACAAGCTTGAGAGATATAAAATATATCAAATATCATCATCCAAGGACTAGTGTGCCTTCACAGCCTCGTTGTGTTTACTCATGCGACCGTGATGCAGTTAGTTTATAACGTTTAATTCTGATTAAATGATTTTGGCAACACTAATGCTCAAACATAGTTGCAGCCTCAGGAAATGGGGTTCAGTAGAGGTCACTAAACTGACCTTTGCCATCAGCTGGGTGCCGAAGCCTCCCTGGTAGTTATTCCCGGACGGGACTCCCTCCATGACTCCAGGCACAGGGTTGTAGGTGTCACTGGACCAGCACCGACCTGAACTCATGTTCAGGATCTTGGCCAACAGTTTGGGATCAAGACCAAGTCTGTGAGTGAAGATACAATCCCACGTTACTTATGCAAAGTGTCTTCATGCTGCGTCTATCGTTATGATTTATACACAGATATTTGTAACCATGAGATTTGTTCACCTGACTCCCAAGTTCATGGTCTCTGAAGTCCCAATCATTCCAATGGCTAGAAGCATGTTGTTGCAGATTTTAGCAGCCTGTAACATGATGGCAGTATGTTAGAATTCAATAACCACGTTAATCACTGGTATTTTATGACTCCATTTTTGTATTCGATTAAACAATTCACCAACAAGTACACACACACACACAAAATTTAAAAAAAATATTTTTTTTAATCCGACTATCCTGGAAAAAGGGGCCTACCTGTCCAGTTCCAACCTGACCGCAGTACACCACATTAGCTCCCATGCAGGTGAGCAGTTCTTTGGCTGCAGTAAATTCCTCCTCTGCACCTCCAACCATAAAAGTCAGTTTACCCGAACTGGCTGCACCCACACCTAGGGACGCAAAAATGATAAAATGACTAACGCACTGTACATTTAGGGAACCAATTAATCAAAACTGAAATACAATGTGCCTCACATAAAAACTAACAGAGAAAACTATTGCATGTAAAGTTTAAATTAAACATGTTCTCTCGAGGCAAGTCTGTCCAAAGCTTTGGGACCCTGTTGGAAAAAGTTTGGTCAGCCCTTAAGTATTTAAAAGCAGCCGTTTCTGAAGCCATTTGCACATTTGATGGTGCATTCAGGCTCACATGGGGTTAAAAACTCAGTAATATACAATAACCAGGTGCAGGCCACATGTGTGCCAAGAAATTAACCAACATAGTCCTCTAATTAATCCGAAAGTTTACAGGAAGACAATGGAGAGAAGCCAAGGTGGGTGTTACATTACGTTCCCCCTCCCTAGTCCCCGTGAGCTGTCTGCCAGCAGTATTTTGTTCTGACTTGACTCTGCTGGAGTCAGCAGCGAGGTACAACTGTCAAGCTGAGAAATAACTAAAGCTCGGGTAATGGATTCTAACAGTTTCTATAGAAAAGCCGTCATTTAAAAAGTATTATCAACCGAGTTAAGGTGTCAACGTGACAGAGATTTCTGCCATTCAGTAGAAATATGACAAAGTACTGTTTGATCAAGAACTTTGTTGTAACATAACTATCTTCTCACAGACATGCAGACGAGGATCGAGATGAGAAACCTCAAATGTGAAGGTTGAATAGATGAAGTAATTACCTACATATATATAGGCAAGTAATTCAAAAATATTTTTTGAACAACTTCATATTATACAAGTTATGATAGGTAATTGAACTCTGTAAATGTAAATTCCCACACACAAGTATAAAGTCCTTCTTTATATATATATATATATATATATATATATATATATATATATATTCTTTACCAGCAGTTAACCAGTCCCCATTCTGCCACTTCAGACCTCTATACTCTAGGCTTCGGTACGTAAGCATTCCAGTCTGTGGAAAATGAAAGATGGCCCTTATCTCATCTGGTTCTTACATTTTTTTCCACACATCACACACATGCTGACTCAATTATGTCCCCATGTGTGCTTTTATGTCTAAACGTTAACCACACTGGATTAAACAGTCCCCATCATGCCACTGTGCTTCTGTTGATTTCTGTCTCACCACTGAAGATGTTCAAAGAGTTTCATTAACGTGATTGACATGATATATCAAAGTATGACACATGCTTCAGTTTGCACTAGTTAAACTGCCGGCGCGCGCGCGCACGCACACACACACACACACACACACACACGTTCAAGGCAGAAAGCTGGACAACTTTAATCCATGTGCACTACCACAGGAAGGAAGCATATAAATAATTACTAATCTTTGGGGCCGGGCTATAAAATGAAGCAAAATCAATTCAAAGAAAGTGGCCGTCTTGACGTTGACGAGGCCAAGTTCAAACAAGCTGTGTTTCTGTGTGGACCCCCAAGAAAGTGTGAGAGCGCACACGTAACGGCGTGGACCATTTGTGCAGGCAGAAGCTGCTCCTCCCCCTCCTCTTCAGGGATCACACTAATGTTTTTTCACTTGAACTGTCGGGGCAAGTGGGTCAGAAATCTACTTGCACAAAGTCAATTCTTATTTGCCCCGCAACATATTGTTATATTTATTAGTGTTTATAAAATAACAAGGCCCAAAGTAAATGGTCATGTTTGATCTTTATTTATGTTAAAGAATCCGGAGTTTCACTCACATCCTCTGAAGTCACCCAACTAAACTCCTGTTTCTAGGATAAATGAAAAGCTCGCTTGGGCTTCAGCTCAGAAACTTAGTTGTTACCCGTCTGATCTGTACTGTGGATGTGCAACTCTCAACAGAAATGAGAAGGAAGCGAGATGGCTCACTCTTTAGCTACTTGCATCATCGGCTCCAGAAAAAAAAACTGCTTTTAATAAATAAATAAAAAATGTACCACTTGCCTGTTCAGGCAAGTAAGTTGCTAGATTTACTAGCCCGACGAGGCTCTTTTCATGCCGCGGGTAAGTGGCCAATCCTTCTGGTTGAGTCCGGTAGATTGTTGAACCTACCTTTCCAGTAATGTAGAGCTAAAATGACTAGTTGATTGATCAAGCAACAGAAAATAAATCTGCAGTTATTCTGATATTTGATTAAACGTTTAAGCAGGAATGGTACAATCCACTATCAGACTTCCATGATAGCAAACTAAATATCTTTGGGTTTTGGACCTTTGCTATGACAAAACATAATGTCACCGTGGGCACTGGATGCTTACGGTGAGATTTAATCGAAACTGAAAATAACTGCTAGTCACAGCCTTACAATAATGTAAAATTACACGAATGCTACAAGTTATGTTCGCAAACAGTATATGCTCAATTACCAGTTTAATAAAACTCACACCTATGTATTACAGTGAGGGCTGACTAGATATTAGAAACACCTCTTTATAATACAACACAGTTTAGAGCTACAAAATGATCATGAAGTTGAATCAAACACCTCTCTGAAATATTCTAAACCCAAATCAAACATTATTACCTTTGTAAAGAGGTATTTATTGTATGTATTAGGCTACATCAGCAAGGTGAAGACCACATGATAACCTGACAGCCAGGCGTATGTATTTAGAGGTATTGTAATAGATAAGATAACACCTATATCTCAAACAATAGTGTAAAATGTACCTCCTGATACAGGTGCATCCATGAAAACTGCCCCCATCTTCTCAGCAGCAGCAGCCATCTCTTTTGAAACAGCTGGGTCGATGGTGCTGGAGTCGATGAGCAGGGAGCCTTTCTTCACCTTTCTGTTGAGACGTACACGACTAAGACTCTGACTTAAAACCTACGAGGTTATTCTGCACATACTGAAAGAGAAACCAATGTTAAGCCTACTTCAGAATGCCATTGGGTCCAGTGTACACATCGACGACATTGGGACTAGAGGGGAGCATGGTGATAATGCGGTCAGCCTTATCTGCTACCTCAGCAGGATTATCCACAATCTGAGAAAACACACAAAAAAAAGGTAAGAAGAGAACAAACGGGTGAAAACTGTATGAATATGAAAAAGGCTCGTGTACATTTTACACTCCCACCTGAGCGCCCAGCTCTTGCACTTCCTTGCAGGACTCCGGGAACACGTCCGTAGCGATGACCGGGTATCCGTGCTTCAGCAGGTTCTTTGCCATTGGGTTTCCCATGTTGCCCAAACCAACGAACCCCACCAATGTCTTCGAGGCCATAGACCTAGCGGAGACTGAAACACAACAGCCAAATGCAGCAATGATAAGACACGGCATCCTTATTACATAGTCAAGAGTCAAGATTAGTCAAGATGTCTCGTGTCCCCCAACACTGGGTATGTAATATCTTGGCTTGTTTTTAATATTCTGTAAATAATAACAATAAAAATCTACAATCCAAGTAATGAAACCTTTGTTCAGGTGTTCATGTTTAAATTTAATTGAGGTAGTTTATGTAATTCCATTGTGATTGCCCTTCAGTGCCAGAGTCATCTAATCTAATGGCGTCAAGCATTTTCAATATTTACTTTGCTGTTTGTTGATACACTCTTGTAAAAGACAAGCAAGCTTATTTCATTTTAAGAAATAACTTAATACTGGAGCTCATCTTCACACTAGTAACAAACAAATAGATACCCTGTGAGGTTGTTTTACTACCAGTAGGTCCTCCAAATACTAGTCTTGTTGTGTAAACTGAAAGTGAGTGCGCACTAGACACATTAATTACTTCTTTTTTTTTTCTTGTTATGTAAATAAAACATGATTCTTGTGTTGACGCTCCGAAGATCGTCGGTTTAAATGCCTCCTTAAGAGCCACCATCTTTCTACAATGAATTTACATGACAAAGCACACAGTGACTGACATTACATAATGTGCCTAAAATAAAGACGCAGGACACAGTAGGACAATTGCAACCCTTCAGCGTTTAGAAAGGTCGCAGAGGAGAGCTCGGGCTGTTAGCGCGTGGCTGTGTCACGTAAACACAACGTAATTTTGACAGGAAAGCTCATTCACCAGTAAATTGTGAACTGAAGCCACTGAAGCAGCAGCTACACCCAGTCTGGCGAACATGTCCTCAAACTTCCCTTACAACGAGCATTTCCCGGAGTATCGTCTCCGTAACAACCACATCTTCTACAGTAAAGTAAGAAACACACGACGATAACACGGTCCAAGTTTGTTCTCCTTACCGAATGCAAAGTCAACATGCTTGCAACACTTTCCACCTAGGTACCGGGACCCTCTCAACACAGCGGCCATGCTTCTTTCCTCTTGACCTTACGTGTGACGTCAGAGCACGCACGTCAACGGCGTTTCCTGCGTCCAAACAAAGAGCAGACATGCGCAGAACGGCCTCCCAAATCGTCGCAGATCCAGCCACTGAGCTGCAGGGGCGGGCCTGTTTCCCCATCGACAGATTCATTTGTTACATTCATTTTGTGCATATTTATGACTTTACAATGTTCAACTATGTATGACTGCTGCAAATATCGGTACTAATATTATTCAGGTTATCTTCCATCTTATGTTATGCATTAATAGACTGTATATAAGATGTATTCTTTTTTAAATTTCCCATTTTTCCCATTATTACTGAGTGTGCTTTACTTGTCATCTTATTTTACATGAATTAGGATATTCTATTCCAGTTTTTGTGTTCATTCTATGTCCATTTTCCCTTGTTGTAGAGCACGTTGTGCTGCATTGCTTGTATGAGGCGCGATACAAATAAAGTGTATTATTACTGTTTGATGTGAATCTCTAAAGCTTACTGAAAGAGGTTCTACGTATTTCTGCCAGGCCTCGCTAAAGCTCGGATTGGGACTTTCTTATTCACAGTGGTGGGATAACTAGTAATACCACAGTGAATTAATACTCCTCATACTTTCTATGTTATTATTTAGTCATTATTTCTGACTCTTTAATGTGTAAGCATTACGTGTCATAGTTGACCAGGGTGAAGCTTAACTTAGCATGTAAAACATTTAAATACAAAGTAACCAGTAACTAAAACTAACTTTTGAAATAAATGCATGAAGTAAAAAGCAGAATATAGTAAAGTAGAGGGGGTGGAGGGTTTACGATACTTTATAATAGGGTAGTTTGGAGTTTCAAAAAGAAAACGATTTCCGTCCACATGGCGTTTCAGCATCATTCCAGATGATCTCCGTCCAGAATAACACGCCTGAAAACAAATATCACGTGACTATTCACGTACACTTGGCATGAAGGTGCAGGTGTAAAGAGAAAGTAGATTGGTTGCTTCGTTCAAAAAATATGATGGAGTAATAAAGTAGTCTTTAATAATGAAAGGTCAAGCTTGATACTTTGCTCTGCTGTCGTTCTGGAGAGCAATCAATGTTTAGTTCCTTCATAGTTTGTGTGTGGACTTCACAATAGAAACAATAATAAGAAAAGGAAAGTCCTCCGTTTTGTGTCCGTCCTCCTCAAAGCCGCTAACCTTGACTTCAAACGGCAGCTGGACGAGCCACCAAAATAAAAAATGTTTTCATATTTTGTCATCTAAAATGTGCATCACATCCTATTACGTCGCTGTCAAGCGCCTTTCCCTGCAGGTGGTTACCCAGATAGCAGTCGACTCCGGGGCGGGGACTGCTATCTGGGTAATTATGATTTGCAGACCCCCGCCCTCGGTAAATTATTGTAAGCTATTATGTTGAGCATGTTAAGAGCTCTCTCGGAAGCAGTGTTCCTGTATGTGTTTGGTGCTTTTATTGTGGAGGATGAGACGGAAAGAGAAAAATAGGTTCTGATGAAGTGTGGGAGAAGTGAATAAAGTTGCTGACGTCTTGGCGCAGATTACGGAGCCCCGTGTTTATTATTTATTTATTATCATAAAGTATAGGCGCAACATTGAACCCTCGGTAAACTATCAATGGATAAATCCAAAAAAAGAAAAGTCACGGAGGAAAATAGAGAGTTTGATTCTGCGTGGACGTATTCATTTGCTTTCATTGCCAACGATGCTGGCTTACCTGTATGATTGAAATGTGGCGAGAAATTTGCAAACAACAAAAAATGTAATGCAACACTTACAAAACAAACACACAGTATGCTGAAAAGTATCACGCTGGAGATGAGCGAAAAAGAGCGATTTCTCAACTGCTGCAGCAAACTCTCCTCTTCATAAGAGTTTGATATTGTTATAACAGGTAAAATAGCAATAACATGTCAATAATTGTCTTTATTCTTGTTCTATAATTTCATAAATACAACAAACTATAGTTTTTGTATATATACTATAACTATATACAAAACTTTATAAGCTGTGATATCAAATAGCTTTTGCGGCTCCAGACGAATTTTATTTGGGGAAAATAGGGCAAAATGGCTCTTTGGATAGTAAAGGTTGCCGACCCCTGGTCTAAGGTTATGACATTGTTAAAAAATTTCAGACGGGTGGGATTCCCAAATAGGTCCCCTTTCCGGAAATGACGTAATGTTGTTATTATTCCAGGAAGAGGGCACGGGGAAGCACTGAACTGCGTCAACAATTGTTTTTATGATACATTCGGATTTCAGCTGCTTTTCAACATGGCAACTCGGTATGTCTCATGATTATTTTATACATACGACTAATCGCACAGTTGTTGCTGGTATTCTGTCCGCTCGACGTGTGTTTTTGCTAACTGTTTACGTTGGCTAACCTTGTCCTTCCTGATAGCCGTGCTCTCTAAGTTAGCTGCTCTTTTCGCTGAGGGCGTTGTAATGTTTCTAACCCAATGCTGATGAAGTTTTTAAGTTAATATGTTGCCGTGGAGTCTTAGGAACACATATAACGTGATATTTCCCGAGCCTTTAACGTGTGGTCTCGTCTAGTAAAGTAACGTTAGCTAGCTAGCTAGCTTGTTAGCTTAGCCAGACGTTGATCACTGTTTCCACATCAGGCCTCGCTTCGTAGCTTGTATTTAGCTGTTAATATCGGACATTACCGTTGACTTTTGACAACTTCGTGTCTAGTGTTACACATCAGAGGCTCGCCGATCGCTGTAACGTTAGATGACAATGTTCAGTGTTTCCGATTATCATCCGAGCAGCTGTTTTTTTTACTGTCACAGGCCCAATTACGTAGGCAGAAATGATCTGAGCTGAGGCCGCTCATCATGCGGTGTCTTAGTGTCACCTTCGTTAGAATAAAGTTCACTTGTGTCTAGAACAGTTTCTTCCTCTGCTGACATCTAACTGTGAATGTGGTGTCTCTATCTGAGTATTTAACATTATTATACCTGAAAATAAAGTGGTCTAAAATGCATAGTATGTTAATACTACTTTTTTGTAACAAAAGTAAAGTTATCTTGCCAAATAATGACTTAAATATCAATGAATGTCACCCATTATAATAAATAGAAGTCTAAATGTATTGGGTGTAAAGTGTACCTGAGTTGTGCTTCATCAGCAAAGTGTGTTTCTTTTTACCTTAAAAGATAACAATCAAACATGAGCCACCTCTAGGGACAATTATTTTATTAAAAAAAAGAAAAATAATTGTTTCTTTTACGTTTTTGTTGTTTGCTAAATTAATTATGTATTGCAGGACAAATGTAGGCTAATCTGGGAAATTAAAACAGCATACTCATCAGTTTGATTTTTAATAGCTAAATAAAGATCATTATTTCAGTTTTAGAAAAAAAGAGGTCCAGTACAGTTTTTCCACTTCATTAGTAGGAATTAGGTTTTCTTACACACACAGAGGACGGGTCTATTTTCTCATTTCGTACAACTATTTCACTTTTGCATTTGAGGGAAAAAGCCATCAAGTACATCTTGAGGACACCGTATCATATTATCCTTTGCTTCCCTTTTAGCGTTACCAATATACCATGAGCTGAATTGGACCAATTAAAAGGCCACTGAAAAGTGACTTTTTTGCTGGTCGTATGAGAGCAGCTTCCTGGTGGCAAGAATGGAATTTTATTGACTTTACATCTTGAGAAGGAATTCCCAAACTGTCTCAGTGAGACTGATCTGTCTCACACAATGAGAAGGCACAAGTCCATGAGCTCAGTAGGCTACAGTCCTACACCTAAGCCAAATTGATACATTTGTTGAAGATGTAGATCTGCAATTAGCATCTTTGTCGACAAGTTTCTCCAAATCAGACATTCCATCGATTGTAACAGAGGTTGCGTGCACTTCAAACATGTCATCTGTTTTTGCTGATTGAGCAAGGTCCCTTGATGTTGATTTGTAACTTTCTAATTATATTTATTTCCCAAACAAACCTATTTAAAGCTTAAACGGATGATATTCAATGGTAAGCCAAACCAAGCCAACTCTTGTCTTCTAGTGACAATGCACAATGATGGCTGATACCACAATCCATCTGTTTAATGGAAATACTTTAAAATGATCCCATACACTAATGAAATGACTCTTTAAGATAAATGTCCATGCACTGGTTGACAGTCCTTTACGGCTTCAATGATTCCCTGTGTTTGAGTCTAATGAGAAACTACAGCAGATTGGGATGGCACCAACATTTAGTTTGGGTCTGGATTGAAAAGCAAATCCATATCCTTGAATAATGTTTATATTTATCATCTGGAAATTGGCAATGGCTCTGTTTGAATATCAAAAATAGAATAAAATCAGTTTTGTTGTATAGAAATGGTTTGCATCTTCTTATTTATTGTAAAGAGTTATATTTTGGTTGTTTCTGTGGTTATTCTTGTTCCTCATCATATATTCTATGGCTTGTGTCTTCCTGTGTAGCCACTGCTGAGTGATTTATGGCACTGTTCCTGGACGGGACTTTATTAAGCACCAACATGGACACTTCAAACTTTGCCCATGTCATCTTCCAGAATGTGGGGAAGAGTTACATGCCCCACGCTGCTCTGGAGTGTCACTATACACTGACGCAGTTCATCAAACCAAATCCAAAGGACTGGGTTGGCATATTCAAGGTGAATAACCCTCTTCAGTGTATTAAAAAAGATAGCAATATATGCACAATGATTATTAGCAAATGGAGTAGCAGAAGTATTACAGTATTTGTTCTCATGGTTAAAGCATATTGCATATGATAGGTAAATCTCTTAACTACTGTATGATGTAGAGGCTATCGAAGAATGACTTAAAAGCTATGAATCTGTGCCAGTGAACACCTTGCAGGTTTGTTTTAATTACCAGTACTTTTACTGAAAAAGTGGAAACATGATAATTCAGTGGTGAGGGAGATTGCAAGTGCAGCTATTGTCGAGTTTATTTGGAAAAGTGAACTTTGAAGAGGGAATTTAGCATTTTGATCCCCACCACACACTTCAGTGTCCCACAT